AAAATTTAGGGGGACGTCCCCCACCCACGTGTGACCCCGCAAATTTAAATTCAGCTTCCCCGTACCTGCGGGTAACACGTATAGCTCCGTGAAAGTTTTTTACGGGTAAATTAATATCTCGGGAACCACAGGGTCTAGGAGGCTAAAATTTTACAGTAATGAACTCCTGCCTACGCTCAACCTGACCCATTCAAATTCAGCCTTCCCGCGCTGTCGGGTGTCACCTACGGGCTAGTGAAAGTTTTTACTGGTAAATTATTGTCTCGGGAACCACGAGGTCTAGGGAGCTGAAATTTTAGGGTAATTCCCCTCCCCCGTGCCCACGCTCAACCTTGCCTATTCAGATTCAGCGTTCCCGCGCTCTTGAGTATCACCTACGGCCTCGTGAAAATTTTGGTGGGTGAACTATTAACTCGGAATAAAGATATTCACCCTTCAAGGTTTCGAATTCAGCTTTCATGCGCTGGTGCGTGAAATTTTTAACTAGATGTTTGAGCTATTTTTGCGTACACTACAAAGCAGTGAAAATCATTAATAGGCAATCGTTCGATGGGCTGAATTGCACAAAACGCATGATCGCACGGCTAGTCTGGTGCGCGTTACTATTTATTTTTCTTTGATTTGTCTCGTTGCTTTGCAGTGACGGTTTTGAGCTATCCGTTTGCGCCAACATCTGTTCCGGCGGGAGATAATGAAGACGATTATCGCAAGTCTCTTTCTGATGCTAAGGTAGAATTCGCTGATTCAAACTATCTTTATACAATAAAAAACAGCCAACTTTCCAGGGAGTTCTTTTGAATTTTTTGTGTCCGTGCGGTTTTACGTTGCATGGCTATTTCTTCCATTATCTCATGCAAGTTTTGAAATTTAATAAAAGATCGGGGTGTTTTTCCCATTTCGAGTTTTGGTTAAAAAAAATTTTGAAAAATTGGCACAATTTAGGTGTATTTGGTTGGCACGGCACATTTCTCGTCCGAGAGCCAGAAGGATGTTTTGAAAACGATCCAAAACACGCAGCCGGATATGGTCCTTGTTGAATTGTGCCCATCGCGCATTTCAGTCCTCTCAATGGATGAGGAGACTTTGCTTGAAGAAGCAAAAAATTTAAATTTTGAAAAAATTGTAAACACTATCAAGCAGGTAAACATGTTTAGCTTAAGAAAAACGAATTCTCCTGGACAAGAGTTGTCGGCCTTTTGCTGAATTGATACCAAACAAATTTTCCAGAGTGGACCAGTGCAGGGTATACTTCACGTTTTGTTGCTTTCAATGTCAGCACATATGACACGTACGCTTGGAATGGCACCTGGTGGAGAGTTTCGCGCTGCACGCAAGTACTTTTTTTTAGCTAATTTCTCTGTCGTTTTTTCTTTTTTTTTTTGATAAAATTTTTAGTTCTAAATGAAAAATGGTGTTGTTGTGTACGTGAGTATCAG